AGCGAATGTTTCTTAAGCGTCCGAAAAACCCAAACGCGGGGATATATCTAGATGTCTGTCGCTGTTCAACACAGACGTTGGTTGACATTCGACTGAAGGACAAGCAACTTATCAATGTCTTGCGATCAGGAAAGTAGTCCGTCTAAATCTGACCTCAGGTCATCACCATAGAGTAGCCAATCACTGGTCTGGAATTTGATCTCACACATATATTTGATACTAGTTATCACAAATGGGTTTCTCACCGACAGGTGTGTAAGAAATTCCGATGCATGACACAAACAATTCCGAATGACAGACCGGATATCGGGGGCGCTGACGGGAGATATATCATGACAACCGGCATGTGTGTCTGGATAGAATAAAGGCGACAACATTAATAGACGACTTGAGATGATTTGTCCCAATCTCAAAGATCTGAGGACATCCCATTGGTGGTCACGTCAGAACGACCTTTCATTCGACCAATCAGAGCGTCGCTTACCAGATCATGAAATGTCGGAATGTGATTTCTAATCATGCAACCTCGTAAACCTTAACACGGGGTATTCAAGCGAAGGTTACGGGCTTAACGACTGAATTAATATACCCTAGACCATCTATATGCAATTCCAGAATGTTCTTTGGTCCAGGTTTCAAATGTTTAATCGAGAATTTGTCAAAATATGTTTTGAAGGGTAGTCGCCAATTTGAAATTAGTGTCGTAAAGCAGGAGAAAGCTGCCTTCTTATTGGCTAATGTCGACTTCTTGTCAGTCATTCCATTGGTCGGTCAAAGTTCGCGCAGGGTCGGTCTGACGTGACCCGTAATCGGATGTCCTAAGATCTTTGTTTAACGGTTGCGAGAAAGATCTGATTTTAATGAGATTGGATTTTTCTTTTCCTGGTGGTCAGGAAACTTGGTTTCAGAGGTGGGATAAACCTCATAACAATTCTGAATACCGAAAAGCAGGTTGACAAGCCTTTAACCAAAGAAAAATAACTAAGTAGGAAAAGCACATGGCGTGACTTCCGAAATGCACGCAGCTCAAGCTCACGGGAATTGTGGCGGAATATTTCAAGAATTTTGAAGTCAGGTTCAACGACTATTGTATTCAAGCTGGCTATAGAGATTTAGGGAAGAAACCCGATACCGAAAACTTAGAATATTACAAGAAACCACAACATGAAATATCATCGCGCAGATCGTCCATGCCAGATGAACATGGCAGGTAATCAGATATACTTTTGAAGCCTAGATATCTGAAGCAGACGGTAATAAACTATCGATATGGATGGACAGACTTTTCTGTGAAGGAACAATCGGGAGCTCAGTTATGACTGACAGATTTAGACTTTAGGGCATAAATCAACTACCACACTAGACAGTGCAGGATTGGGAGCTCAAGGTCAATGACGATAATATTAGAACTAGAATTAGAACTTCTAGAACTAAAGACACATTCGAAATCAGGCAACACGAAGAAACGTATGTCCAATCTTGTCAATGAAGCAAAAGCCTTAGAATCTGCACAGAAAGCCAACAGGGTAATTAACGAGTCGACAAGAGGTATAGGAGAAACAGGTGCATTGGACAGTGAAATGAAGTGTGGTGACTGATGAGAGCCTCACCCATGGAAGATGTGTCCAGCAAGAGGAAAACATTTGTGCCAACTGTGGAATGAATAATGACTTCGCTGGGGTCTGCCAACAAGCTAATGCTAACTCCCAACGACGGTGGCAACTGCAATAATAAAAAAAACAGTACCGTACTCTAAGATACAGGGGACAGTCTAAGGAGAATCCACAGGGTGATAGCCAATATCCATCAAACAGGGACCCCCATTAGTCAGCCCACCAGTTAGCACACACCAGAGGAAGCGTACCTAATATACTCTTTAGAGACTCAACACGTGTACAATATAGGCATTAACGCAGGAGGCAAGAACTACTTTGTCAACTTCTCAACATCTGACACAGAGCATAAATTCACGCCAGTGAAATGCCAGATAGACTCTGCAGCCTAATGCAACACCATATCAGAAGGTGTCAGAAATATTTTCTCAAATGTTGCAGTACTCAGATCTCCATATATACTCCACCCGTATGGTGATGCTAAGCCAATATATGCTCTTAGTCAGATGGGAATTGACCTGTGAACGAAAAAACAAGTATGACAATCCAGGTTCATCCGAAATCGAAAATGAGAGGTAAACCTGGTCTTCTGTCTAGACAGGATTCTGAAAAGCTAGGCTTGATAAAAATCGAAGCTGACGAAGTATAAACATTGTCTTCCAGAGTGCTGAATTTTTTAGATGATGACTTACCAGGGTACCAGGCACGATCTTGTGATAACTTCCAGACTTCACTGTCAGTGGATACTTAAAGTCAAACACACGGAGACGATGACGGTGAATAGGTGCTATAGGCATGTAACCAAGATGATATGCCACATAACAGAGTACCCGGTCACTGTTCTCTAACATTGTCAGTGCCATCACAGCATTTTGCCTAACCCTGGTCATCTCACAAAGGAAGATGTGCAGAGAGAATATCCAGAGAACTTTCCAACAATTCTGAATGACAGACCGGATATCGAGGGGGCTGACGGGAGACAGATCATGACAGCCAGCATGTACGTCTGGATGGAATAAAGGTGTCAACATTAATAGACGACTTGAGATGAGTTGTCCTTTCCCGGTGGTCAGAAAACTCTGAGATCAGGAATATAGACGATATGCATCGATTCGATGCTAAAAGGTGCGATTTTAGGGTGTATAAGAAACAGAATACTGCACTCGTGACTGTCAGATACCGTTTATCTTACAACTCGTTGTTTCAAAGCGAATCTAACTCGCTTTCGCTTGTGTTAGTTACCTCTCTATTTTACTTTTAATATATTATATATATTATATCGCCTGATCAACGATCCATTAAGCATATTTGTTTGTTTGTTGTTTAACGACGCACTCAGGCAATATTCCAGCTATATAACGGCGGTCTGTAAAAAAATCCAGTGATTGATATCATGAGCATAGATTCAAGGAATTGTGATACGATCACACACACACACACACACACACACACACTCTCTCTCTCTCTCTCTCTCTCTCTCACCTACTCACTCACTCACTCACTCACTCACGCACGCGCGTGTGTGTGTACCTCTGGGACATGATTGCACAATGTGTTCACAAGGACTATATACAAAGAGCAGATAGAGAAAAGAGATAATTAGCTCACCCATTCTCTCAAACATGATGTCAGATGAATTCTTGGCATTTAACCACTACTGTTGAAGTGGATACAAAACATGTATGTGTATAATCAAAATGCCTTTGTGTGTATTATGAAGTGTGACAATATATATGTGTGTGATGTAATGTTTTTGGGATCTTAGCAGAAGGAATAAGATTCCGAATTGTGGTCTGGTGAATGTTTACCCACTCTGCCTGCAATGCTTGTGCCAAGTTTAGGAGATTCTGTAGTTGTTGCTGACGTGCTCGCAGTCGTTGAACCAATGCATCCCATAAATGTTCGATTTGGTATAAATCTGGAGACCTCGAGGGTCATGGCAGGACCTGGATATTGTGATTCCTGAAAAAATGAAATTCGCTTAGTGCATAATGGGAAGGACGTGTGGCCGTAAAATCTCATCCGTGTAACGCGTGTCCCAGAACTTGCAGAAGTAAGATGGCTGCCCTCATCATCACAGTACCACCACCAAGTCTGTCCACTTCCTGTATGCAGTTCGTGCATAACGTTCCCCACTGTTAAACACGACGTCCGCATGGCGAATAATAATTACGGTACTAAACCAAACTTGTCTCCATCGCAGTTGTGGCCATACTCTGTGACCTTGACACCAATGGCGTCGCAGGTCCGTCAAAATGACACCTCGAAGTGGTCGTCTAGCGCGAATACCTTCAGCGCGTAAACGGCTCCTCGCTGTGCTGCTTTCAAACGCAATCCTTGTATTGCTGGAGTTGTACAGGTGACGATGGTGGTTCTTTCACGTAAGTGACATGGCCGTAGGAGTCTTGTGCTCTAGTGGTGATCTAGACCGGATCTTGCAAGGCAGCGGGTTGTCCCGTATGTCTGATAACGGTTCATCAGTCTTGGAATGGTGTCTGGTGCTACTTGGAAAAACCTGTATAAAGCTGAAAATGATTCTCCTGTTTGCAGTCGCCGATGGCGTTGTTGCGTTGGGCTTCCGTCAGTCGTGGCACGTTTTTACTGTTCACTTGCTGTAAGATTGTTGTTGTATGCAAATGAAAACCCAACGTTTTTCATAGCCCAACAAGTGATGTTGCGCATACATGTCAAGTTGGTGTGTTTCGGCGGCAGGCTCTCACGTGGCTGTGTTTTTGCGATTGTTCAATCTTTTCACCAAATTTCCCCAGTACCTCATTCTTTGGACACAGATCAATCCCAATCCATGCAAAAATTACCAATTCATTATAAGCATTAACTTTGTATTGATGTTTGCAACACTCTGTAAGATATTTACGATATTACTAACTATGCGTCTTTTTAATGTCTATGAAGAAGGTGTCTTTGTCTTTATTGCTTTAATTTATTATATATTTTAATCGTAAATACCTTATACGTAAACGCACGTAAACTCATACATGCATAAGTAATTGGACAGACACCAATATACGTTTAGGAGTCAACATATTAATATGCAAATTATCCCCACCAGTTGAAAGCGGACATAAGGACATTAAGCACAAAAAGATAGACATTGACAGGACGCTCAACCCTAACCTCAGACAATGGTTTGTGAGATTTTTTGTCCGTGGACAATGATCACTAGTTTTCACTGTCTAGGGACATTGGAAACTCGGATGTACTGTCCAGGAGAATTAGTCCTCGTGTGCATTGTCCCCCAGACATTGTATATTAAATACAAGTATATATGACACACGTTTTCCCCAATTACAATGTTATATTCTTCTAATCTACAGGAGAATCAGCTCGTCTGAAGTGCACCTCAGACAGAACATTTGTCACCTAGACGCCATTAGATGAGATTGTGTTGACTGAGATGAAGATAATCTTGCCCTGCAGTTTCACTCTGCTGACGTCGGACACAACATGCCTCACACCTACTCCAGGGTACGCACCAGCAGGTCACTACGGCTTTCTAAATGACAAAGATGGCCAGTTGCATCTGACTTACACTACTAACGTTGCTGGTACATTATGCACTGAGGTAGCGTCCTTCTGTACAGAATTACAGTACTTTGTGTTAAGAATGTGCATGGGTATGTTACGTGGGTTGCGGAGACGCTGTCCTGGTTGGCTCACACTACTGGTGTTGGTGATGTTGCTTTGGTGGTTTTGTGAACGAGGCGACTATGCACAGCTTCCACCGATAACTGTCAGTCCGTACATCGATGCCAAGCTGCTCAACCCCATGGGTCTCTCAAAGTGTTTGACAAGCTCTGGCCAAGGTTCGTATAAGGGCATTTTTGTTGTTTATGTAGGTTTACGTTGGTTTGTTCAAGCATCGCACAATACACATGTTCAGGAACACGAAATAATTGCGTACACTGGAAGGCCGGGTTCGATTGCCCATATGGGTACAATGTCTGAAGCTTATTTCTGGTGCCCCCCGCAGTGATATTGCTGGAAGCGGCGTAAAACTATGCTCATTCAAACTACTTTGATATATGCATATATTTGTAGGACGACTGCGAGTTAACAAACAGAATGTAAGCTATGAGGAGGTGCAGAATGCTTTCGCCCCTTTAGGGACGGGTGCCGGCCATTTCCGCCCGCCTCAGTGTGCAGCCGAACAGAAGTCAGCCATCATTATCCCTTTCCGAAACCGTCATCACCACCTACCGATACTCCTGAACAACCTGGTACCCTACCTACTGCGACAGCGCCGAGACTTCACCTTCTATGTGGTAGAACAGGTAATCACCACCCTCCCAGGGGGAGCAATATCACACCTCTGCTACAAGTAGAACAATAACACGAAATCTGCCATCATAGACAGAGACATAGACGGTCTCTCTGGTCTTAACTACGCGGATATGAAGTGTGCAATGTTTTCTATATTTGTATCAAGTGTAATGCATACCTTGTACATTTTGATGTGCCATATGGTCACTTCCACCAGGGATCTGCTGGGGTATTCAACAAGGCGTTAATGATGAACGCGGGCTTCATGGAAGCGATGCGTCGTGGCAACTATGACTGTTACATCTTCCACGATGTGGACCTGATTCCTGAAGATGACCGGATACCGTACACCTGTCGCCCTGGGCAGGTGGCGCATCTGGTGGCTGCCGTCAGGAAGTACTATTACCAGTAAGGCCGTGTTTCTTTATGCCCTCATTGTTTATATACTATATTACATGAAACTAAAATAAACCACCCATTGGGCTTTGTATGGGTGGGCGTTATCCTCTCGGAATTCAATCTGACGGCCACTTACTCCTACGCACAAATTGTTTAATACTGCAACTTCAGGTCCGACTGCTCAAAGTGCGATCATTTATTCGCCTGTGGTTGATGACCCTAGATTGTTTATCCTAGATGGTGATCTGAAGCTATACCGTAACGCTGTGAGTTTTACCTGACGGCCTTGTCTGGAGTTTGTTTCGTCTACCACGACCACTGCGCATTTCACACCGTGTAAATTCTATAACCCTGTAGTCACACTTGTTGATCTATTAACATATTCAGCAACAAGCCGGAGTTTTCCGACCTAATCATGCCTACTGCTACTAATTTGTGCGCTATTGTGTCTTCGTGATGTCTGCTTTTACAAAACAAGTGTTTCTCATCCTTCTCTTACACGGCGATACATGTGTTACAAAACTATGCTTTCTACCTGCACTTCTCGCAAATAGGTCATCTCTGGGTACATGCAACGTGAAGGTCTCGCAGGTACCACTGCATTTATCACACACAGGTTAAGGACCGTCTTGTCTCGTTTCAGCGCCATGCGGAGGTATATCGGAGGCGTTCTAGCCTTCACCGAGCAACAGTTCCGTGGTGTGAATGGTTTCTCCAACCTGTACATGGGCTGGGGGGGCGAGGACGACGACATGAGGTTCAGGTAACGTCAGTGGCGGAAACACCAGAATTCGCCCCGAATAAAACAATATCTTCTCCAGTAACGATTCCACCGTACCGGCGTCCACAAGCCAGTTATAGAGCATATGTTATGTGCAAAGGTTATAAATCCCGAATTTCATGGTGATCACACGCTTATTTTATCTCACAACGGCCTAATTGTAACATGTCACGGACTGGCGAACTAACGGTCATGTCTAACCTTGCCTTACCTTGATACCGCCTGGTTCCAGATTGGATCTCCTGAGTAATCCAGTGTATGAAGTATCTATTCAGATTGGGAGGTACTACAGTTTCAATCACTCGACTGACGAGGGCAACCCAGTCAATCACCACAGGTAAATACTACAGCTACAATCACTCGACTTACGAGGGTAACACAGTCAATCACCACAGGTAAATACTACAGCTACAATCACTCGACTAACGAGGAGAACCCAGTCAATCCCCACAGGTAAATACTACAGCTACAATCGCTCGAGTGATGAGGGTAACACAGTCAATCACCACAGGTAAATACCACAGCTACAATCACTCGACCGAAGAGGGCAACCCCATCATTCACCACAGGTAAATACCACAGCTACAATCACTCGACTGATGAGGGTAACACAGTCAATCACAACAGGTAAATACCACAGCTACAATCACTCGACCGAAGGGCAACCCCATCATTCGCCACAGGTAGTCAAAGAAAGTTGGAAGATTCAGCACATTTAGTAATCACACGTCACAAAATACACAGCACACACAAAAGTCGAGAGCGGATATTCCAAGCACAAAACATTGAGGCAGGACCCTATTGACTTGAGTTATTACAAAGTAAGGGTTGGATAACAATAGCCTGATTGATAAGGAAGCTCTGTCATATAACAGATTATGTTTGACACGAACGTAAATGACAGTAATAACATTGTGTACGTGTCACACAGGGACATCTGTGACTCTGACATCTGCCTCTCTCTTTAAGGCAGGATATCATGTCTTAAATAATTCTGTACAATCATATGTTATCAAGAAAATGACAACTAATATAAACTTAAGAAATACTAAATATAGCAAGTAAATATTCACATGTAAAGTCCTGGTATTGATCTAACAGCACAGGGGGCGGTCGGGTAGTCTAGTGGTTAAAGCGTTTGCACGCCACGCCGAAGACCCGGGTTCGATTCCCGACATGGGTACAATGTGTGAAGCCCATTTCTTGTGTCCCCCGCCGTGATATTGCTGGAATATTGCTAAAAGCGGCGTAAAACCATACTCACGCACTCACTCTAACATTACAGTCCAGGGTCTCTTTTACATTTTCATTGTCATCGCTGCAGCTGTGGAACAACGTTGACTGGGGGCTCGTGTTGGGATGTCGCTGGCGATCTGGGGACATCGGTCATATATTTACTTTGGTCTTACTTGAAGACCTTCTGTGTTGACATTTATCCAAATTGGTGTTTAGTGGAACGTGTTTCCGCCAAAGTTGATGTCTTCTCAAGAAACTAGCTTGAGAACTTGAGCAAGCTTTAAGTAACCGTTTCAAAGTAACTTCCGATGTAATCCATCGTCTGGTACCGTACAGGAACATTCCAAACACAGTATGTAACAATACAACGACAAAATGACACAATGAGGGGAATACCTCTTCTGATATCACAAGCACAACGTTGAGCGGACTTTCCTGCTCAGACATTTCCAGCTGAATCTCCAGAGGTTTCCTCCGAGCAGCACATCCTACACATGCAAGCGGAATACCAGACAACCTGAACATGAAGCTGGACACTTTATACAGTTCCATAAAGGTATCACGTAGACAGGGTTGTAATAATTGCTCATTTAACGGGTGCAGATGAAGAAGGTATTGGATCGGGATTCAGCACAGAAACTTGAGGCGGGATCCTATTGACTTAAGCTATTATAAAGTAAGGGTTGAGTTACAATGTGCTTGATTGACAAGGCCGCAGAGCGATATAACGGCTTCTACACGAACCTTAATTATAGTAGACTAAACAAATACATCAGACATGGGGTATAGTTTAACAAAATAATGTCTGACGTGACATTAAAATCTCTTATGCTGCGTGACGACCCAGTCAATCAGGAACTATATAGATGACAATGGTAGTTGTGTTCTCTCATGGTTGACACACCGAGCCGCTGCGTTTAATTGACAGAAAGATTATACTTTTTTCTGAATTATTTCGACACAACTATTCTAAGACTTTACTTTCTTTAGGAAAGAGTTACTCTGGGAGGCAGGTAAACGAGCGGCCATCGACGGTATAACGTCACTGAAGTATACTGTGGACAGCGTGGAAGAGTCAACGTTGTTTACATGGGTCAAAGTGCGATTTGACCCACAACACTACAGGTGAGATTTGATTTTACACCAAGGCCAAGCGTAACATTTGAATCGACATTTAGAACGTAATGAGTGATCCTATACTGCCATACTTTTATCTACAGGGTGACAGAGACCTCAACACCCTATCTCTCTGCCTCCTTTACACAGTGTTCCAAGTAATGGAGGTATCATCTATCTGTCTGCCACCTATACACAGTGTCCCAAGTAATGGAGGTATCATCTATCTGTCTGCCACCTATACACAGTGTCCCAAGTAATGGAGGTATCATCTATCTGTCTGCCTCCTATACACAGTGTCCCAAGTAATGGAGGTATCATCTATCTGTCTGCCACCTATACACAGTGTCCCAAGTAATGACGGTATCATCTCAGCGTCTGCCATCTATACACATTGCCCATAGTAATGCCGTATCATCTCAGCGTCTGCCTCCTATACACATTGTCCCAAGTAATGGAGGTATCATCTGTCTGTCTGCCTCCTATACACATTGTCCCAAGTAATGGAGGTATCATCTGTCTGTCTGCCTCCTATACACATTGTCCCAAGTAATGGAGGTATCATCTGTCTGTCTGCCTCCTATACACATTGTCCCAAGTAATGGCGGTATCATCTGTCTGTCTGCCTCCTATACATATTGTGCCAAGTAATGGCGGTATCATCTGTCTGCCTGCCATCTATACACATTGTCCCAAGTAATGGCGGTATCATCTGTCTGCCTGCCATCTATACACATTGTCCCAAGTAATGCCCGTATCATCTCAGCGTCTGCCATCTATACACATTGCCCTAAGTAATGCCGGTATCATCTCAGCGTCTGCCATCTATACACATTGTCCCAAGTAATGGAGGTATCATCTGTCTGTCTGCCTCCTATACACATTGTCCCAAGTAATGGAGGTATCATCTGTCTGTCTGCCTCCTATACACATTGTCCCAAGTAATGGAGGTATCATCTGTCTGTCTGCCTCCTATACACATTGTCCCAAGTAATGGCGGTATCATCTGTCTGTCTGCCTCCTATACACATTGTCCCAAGTAATGGCGGTATCATCTGTCTGTCTGCCTCCTATACATATTGTGCCAAGTAATGGCGGTATCATCTGTCTGCCTGCCATCTATACACATTGTCCCAAGTAATGGCGGTATCATCTGTCTGCCTGCCATCTATACACATTGTCCCAAGTAATGCCCGTATCATCTCAGCGTCTGCCATCTATACACATTGCCCTAAGTAATGCCGGTATCATCTCAGCGTCTGCCATCTATACACATTGCTCCAAGTAATGCCGGTATCATCTCAGCGTCTGCCATCTATACACAGTGTCCCAAGTAATGGAGGTATCATCTGTCTGTGTGCAACCTATACACAGTGTCCCAAGTAATGGAGGTATCATCTGTCTGTCTGCTTCCTATACACAGTGTCCCAAGTAATGCCGGTATCATCTGTCTGTCTGCCACCTATACACATTGTCCCAAGTAATGGATGTATCATCTGTCTGTCTGCCTCCTATATACATTGTCCCAAGTAATGGCGGTATCATCTGTCTGTGTGCAACTATACACAGTGTCCCAAGTAATGGAGGTATCATCTGTCTGTCTGCCATCTATACACATTGTCCAAAGTAATGGAGGTATCATCTGTCTGTCTGCCACCTATACACAGTGTCCCAAGTAATGCCGGTATCATCTATCTGTCTGCCATCTATACACAGTGTCCCAAGTAATGGAGGTATCATCTGTCTGTCTGCCACCTATACACAGTGTCCCAAGTAATGGAGGTATCATCTATCTGTCTGCTTCCTATACACAGTGTCCCAAGTAATGGAGGTATCATCTATCTGTCTGCCATTATACACAGTGTCCCAAGTAATGGAGGTATCATCTATCTGTCTGCCACCTTTACACAGTGTCCCAAGTAATGGAGGTATCATCTATCTGTCTGCCACCTATACACAGTGTCCCAAGTAATGGAGGTATCATCTATCTGTCTGCCATTATACACAGTGTCCCAAGTAATGGAGGTATCATCTATCTGTCTGCCTCCTATACACAGTGTCCCAAGTAATGGAGGTATCATCTATCTGTCTGCCATTATACACAGTGTCCCAAGTAATGGAGGTATCACCTATCTGTCTGCCTCCTATACACAGTGTCCCAAGTAATGGAGGTATCATCTATCTGTCTGCCTCCTATACACAGTGTCCCAAGTAATGGAGGTATCATCTATCTGTCTGCCTCCTATACACAGTGTCCCAAGTAATGGAGGTATCATCTATCTGTCTGCCACCTATACACAGTGTCCCAAGTAATGGAGGTATCATCTATCTGTCTGCCACCTATACACAGGGTCCCAAGTAATGGAGGTATCATCTATCTGTCTGCCTCCTATACACAGTGTCCCAAGTAATGGAGGTATCATCTATCTGTCTGCCACCTTTACACAGTGTCCCAAGTAATGGAGGTATCATCTATCTGTCTGCCACCTATACACAGTGTCCCAAGTAATGGAGGTATCATCTATCTGTCTGCCTCCTATACACAGTGTCCCAAGTAATGGAGGTATCATCTATCTGTCTGCCTCCTATACGCAGTGTCCCAAGTAATGGAGGTATCATCTGTCTGTCTGCCTCCTATACACAGTGTCCCAAGTAATGGAGGTATCATCTATCTGTCTGCCACCTATACACAGTGTCCCAAGTAATGGAGGTATCATCTATCTGTCTGCCACCTATACACAGTGTCCCAAGTAATGGAGGTATCATCTATCTGTCTGCCACCTATACACAGTGTCCCAAGTAATGGAGGTATCATCTATCTGTCTGCCACCTATACACAGTGTCCCAAGTAATGGAGGTATCATCTATCTGTCTGCCTCCTATACACAGTGTCCCAAGTAATGGAGGTATCATCTATCTGTCTGCCACCTATACACAGTGTCCCAAGTAATGACGGTATCATCTCAGCGTCTGCCATCTATACACATTGCCCATAGTAATGCCGTATCATCTCAGCGTCTGCCACCTATACACATTGTCCCAAGTAATGGAGGTATCATCTGTCTGTCTGCCTCCTATACACATTGTCCCAAGTAATGGCGGTATCATCTGTCTGTCTGCCTCCTATACATATTGTGCCAAGTAATGGCGGTATCATCTGTCTGTCTGCCTCCTATACACATTGTCCCAAGTAATAGCGGTATCATCTGTCTGCCTGCCATCTATACACATTGTCCCAAGTAATGCCCGTATCATCTCAGCGTCTGCCATCTATACACATTGCCCTAAGTAATGCCGGTATCATCTCAGCGTCTGCCATCTATACACATTGCCCCAAGTTATGCCGGTATCATCTCAGCGTCTGCCACCTATACACAGTGCCCCAAGTAATGCCGGTATCACCTCAGCGTCTGCCACCTATACACATTGCTCCAAGTAATGCCGGTATCATCTCAGCGTCTGCCATCTATACACAGTGTCCCAAGTAATGGAGGTATCATCTGTCTGTGTGCAACCAATACACAGTGTCCCAAGTAATGGAGGTATCATCTGTCTGTCTGCTTCCTATACACAGTGTCCCAAGTAATGCCGGTATCATCTATCTGTCTGCCACCCATACACATTGTCCCAAGTAAAGGAGTTATCATCTGTCTGTCTGCCTCCTATATACATTGTCCCAAGTAATTGCGGTATCATCTGTCTGTGTGCAACCTATACACAGTGTCCCAAGTAATGGAGGTATCATCTATCTGTCTGCCTCCTACACACAGTGTCCCAAGTAATGGAGGTATCATCTATCTGTCTGCCACCTATACACAGTGTCCCAAGTAATGCCGGTATCATATGTCTGTCTGCTTCCTATACACAGTGTCCCAAGTAATGGAGATATCATCTGTCTGTCTGCCACCCATACAAAGTGTCCCAAGTAATGCCGGTATCATCTGTCTGTCTGGCATCTATACACAGTGTCCGAAGTAATGGAGGTATCATCTATCTGTCTGCCACCTATACACAGTGTCTCAAGTAATGGAGGTATCATCTATCTTTCTGCCACCTATACACAGTGTCCCAAGTAATGGAGGTATCATCTATCTGTCTGCCACCTATACACAGTGTCCCAAGTAATGGAGGTATCATCTATCTGTCTGCCACCTATACACAGTGTCCCAAGTAATGGAGGTATCATCTATCTGTCTGCCACCTATACACAGTGTCCCAAGTAATGGAGGTATCATCTATCTGTCTGCCATTATACACAGTGTCCCAAGTAATGGAGGTATCATCTATCTGTCTGCCTCCTATACACAGTGTCCCAAGTAATGGAGGTATCATCTATCTGTCTGCCACCTTTACACAGTGTCCCAAGTAATGGAGGTATCATCAATCTGTCTGCCACCTATACACAGTGTCCCAAGTAATGGAGGTATCATCTATCTGTCTGCCATTATACACAGTGTCCCAAGTAATGGAGGTATCATCTATCTGTCTGCCTCCTATACACAGTGTCCAAAGTAATGGAGATATCATCTATCTGTCTGCCTCCTATACACAGTGTCCCAAGTAATGGAGGTATCATCTATCTGTCTGCCATTATACACAGTGTCCCAAGTAATGGAGGTATCATATATCTGTCTGGCTCCTATACACAGTGTCCCAAGTAATGGAGGTATCATCTATCTGTCTGCCTCCTATACACAGTGTCCCAAGTAATGGAGGTATCATCTATCTGTCTGCCTCCTATACACAGTGTCCCAAGTAATGGAGGTATCATCTATCTGTCTGCCTCCTATACACAGTGTCCCAAGTAATGGAGGTATCATCTATCTGTCTGCCACCTATACACAGTGTCCCAAGTAATGGAGGTATCATCTATCTGTCTGCCATTATACACAGTGTCCAAAGTAATGGAGGTATCATCTGTCTGTCTGCCTTCTATACACAGTGTCCCAAGTAATGGAGGTATCATCTGTCTGTCTGCCTCCTATACACAGTGTCCCAAGTAATGGAGGTATCATCTGTCTGTCTGCCTCCTATACACAGTGTCCAAAATAATGGAGGTATCATCTGTCTGTCTGCCACCTATAAACAGTGCCCCAAGTAATGGAGGTATCATCTGTCTGCCTGCCATCTATACACATTGTCCCAAGTAATGGCGGTATCATCTGTCTGCCTGCCATCTATACACATTGTCCCAAGTAATGACGGTTTTATCTGTCTGTCTGCCACCTGTACACAGTGTCCCAAGTAATGGAGGTATCATCTGTCTGTCACCAAAACACAGTGCCCCAAGTAATGGAGGTATCATCTGTCTGTCTGCCATGTATACACAATGCCTCAAGTAATGGCGGTTTTATCTGTCTGTCTGCCACCTGTACACAGTGTCCCAAGTAATGGCGGTATCATATGCCGTCTGTAGGTGCATTATTGCTTATTGATGCTTTAGTGAAATACGTTTGAGTGGCATTATGATATGATATATCTGTACATTTTTCGCTCATAACCAACGTGTAACCATTTTGTTGCAGTCCACTCTTCAATGCTGTCGTAGACGGTTCTTTGGAAATGCCTTAAATGAAACATTGCCAAATACTACAAAACTTAAGGCATAGCATCCCTGATACAAGAGCAAGGGCCACACAGCATTGGACCTGATAAAGCAACCTTAACGCCTCCTCCCTGAAGCATGCGACCGATGAGTACGATTCAGATCTTTGGGGATGATAGCTCGCCCAGCCTGTAGTGTCAGTACCAGCTATGGCAACGTCTGCGACTGTGGTGGAGGCAGTAGCACCCACCTATGCTACTATGTTATAATGCTCGCTGGGGTTAATATCTGGAGACCGACAGGGTCAGTGCATAAAATTAATGTTGTTGCTTGTTGTTGTTGTGGTGGTGGTTGTGTGGTGGTATACCGTGGTGATATACCGTGGTGAGTCTGGAAGAATCGCGAGGGAATACGGCGTTTGCGTTCTGCATTATGGGAATGATGTGTGATTATAGAATTTCAACTCATGTGCTGTAAACATAAATTAGGTAGGTGCTGTAAACATAAACTAGGTAGGTGCTGTAAACATAAACTAGGTAGGTGCTGCCATTGTGCGAGATTGCTTCACACACATTTACACGCCACCACACACGACCATACGCCTTCAAACACCACTTATCATCTCACACATCGTCACACACCATCTCACATCGTCACACACCACCACACAACATCACACACCGCCACAAAACACCACACACTGTCACACCACACTGCAGATAATACAACACTCCACACCTAACAACTATACCACAGATGCTACTACACTTCACCTCCATACAGGGGGCACGGGTGGCCCAGTCGTCTAAGGCGCCGCGATTCGCTGTGCAGAGTTGCGTCCCTTGGGCACGCCAGAAACCTATGATTGTGGGTTCGAATCCCGGTTCGCCCCGATTATGTTTCTAGGTTTGTCAGCACCATACCCGTGCTCGTGGGTTTCACCGAAGTGGTAACCGTCTGAGACCTGCATCACTTCGGGCTTTCCTCCCACATTAACCTGACACGCCCTGATATAACTTGAATAAAGTTAAACCCAACTCACTCACTCACTCAATCACCTCCATACAACAGAATCAAAGATGCTACAACACTCTATTCTTATACAACCACATCACAGAGGCTACAACACTCCACCCTCACACAACCACACAGCAGATGCTACAACACTCCACCCCACACAACCCCACCACAATGCTACAACACTCCATCCTCGGAGAACATCATAGATGCTACAACACTCCAGCCACACACAACCATACCACAGATTCTGCAACACCCCACCCTCAAACAACCACACCACAGTTGCTACAACATTCCACCCTCATACAACCACACCACAGATGCTACATCACTCCACCCTCACATAAACACACCACAGATGCTACAAAACTCCACTCTCACACAACCACACCACAGTTGCTACAACACTCCACCCTCACACCACAGATGCCACATCACTCTACCCTCACACCACAGATGCCACAACACTCCACCCTCACACTAGTCTACCATCATCACAGATAATGTTACATACACCAGTGCAACATCATCACAGATAATATTATATACACCAGTCTACCGTCATCACAGATAATGTTTCATACACTATTCTACCGTCATCACAGATAATGTCACATACACTTGTCTACCATCATCACAGATGATGTTACATACACTATTCTACCGTCATCACAGATAATGTTACATACACTAGTCTACCGTCATCACAGATACTGTTACATACACTATTCTACCGTCATCACAGATAATGTCACATACACTTGTCTACCATCATCACAGATAATGTTACATACACTAGTCTACCATCATCACAGATAATGTTACATACACTGGTCTACCGTCATCACAGATAATGTTACATACACTAGTCTACCATCATCACAGATAATTTTACATACACTAGTCCATCATCATCACAGATAATGTTACATACACTGGTCTCTAACATCATCACAGATAATGTTACATAGACTAGTCTAACATCATCACAGATAATGTTACATACACTAGTCTACCGTCATCACAGATAATGTTACATACACTAGTCTACCGTCATCACAGATAATGTTACATACACTATTCTACCGTTATTACAGATAATGTTACATACACTAGTCTACCGTCATCACAGATACTGTTACATACACTATTCTACCGTCATCACAGATAATGTCACATACACTTGTCTACCATCATCACAGATAATGTTACATACACTAGTCTACCGTCATCACAGATACTGTTACATACACTATTCTACCGTCATAACAGATAATGTTACATACACTAGTCTACCATCATCACAGATAATGTTACATACACTAGTCTACCATCATCACAGATAATGTTACATACACTGGTCTCTAACATAATCACAGATAATGTTACATACACTAGTCCGCCATCATCACAGATAATCTTGCATACACTTGTCTACCGTCACCACAGATAATGTTACATACACTAGTCTACCATCATCACAGATAATTTTACATACACTAGTCTACCATCATCACAGATAATGTTACATACACTAGTCTACCGTCATCACAGATAATGTTACATACACTGGTCTCTAACATAATCACAGATAATGTTACATACACTAGTCTACCGTCATCACAGATACTGTTACATACACTATTCTACCGTCATCACAGATTATGTTACATACACTGGTCTACCGTTATCACAGATAATGTTGTGACTACAATATTGAAAACCAAACTTTACTTGTTTGAAAAATACACTAAAATATTAGTGTCACCGGAACTTTTGTTGTTGAATATATGTTGGGATGTTCCTCATAATATAACATCTTGGGCATAATCATGTGTGCGCACACTGACTTCATAAAGAAAACAACATTTGCTTACGTACATAACACTTTATTTCTTACAACAGGTTACAAAATGTGATATAAAAGTATAAAATACATGACGATATGACGAGTTGTAAATATGGTACAGATCTGATAAAAACTTCAAAATGTATGCGGACCAAAATAGTTTGCCCCCAGTCGCCCAAAAGTTTGTTCTTGTCATGAGGTTAGACTTGAACAGACAATGAAAAGACAATGAAAAGACACCATTTCTATAAATTAAGTAACAGAGGGACAGATTTACCAGTGGACCCCTTTCAACTGACCGGTACTATGTTCTTTGTACACATCTGTACGTTTGTCACAGTGCTCGTCCCGAAAGCAGGGTGTCCAGGCTTCTATCGTGTGCCTCAGTGGACGGTAGGCAATAAGCGACGAAGAGGAAACATATTAACCAACTAAATGCTGCAAGGCAATAAATACAATTTTTAATGTTTCATGACATTGCTTTCGACAACTGATCAGCAAATGGCAAGTGAACATCACTAAGAACATCTGCTGCACCTTCGGTCTTCATGGAAGAAACCAATCGAATCACATGCTCTACTGCATACCTAAAATGGTTTCTTTGCGAGAATAGCATCATAGTAATTGCACCCTTCTATTGACTTAAACTGAGTATTTGAAAATCCGTGCTTCTTGAGCAACTTCTGATATTCTGACGGAGTTCTCTCCCGTCCCTTTGAGATCATAGCCATCACTAGATCCATGCTGATACACGACCATGGTCCATCTTTATCCTCGTTCAGCGTCTTTTCCAGCAGGAGTAAGCTTCCCCCTATAAAAGAAGTAACACGTTATGCGAGGAAAGTTATTTCCTAGATTTAGTATGCAAAAGAGACACTATAACTTCTCCTCCAGGTGTTCTAGTGTATATCGTCAGTTGCTGCATCATAGCAGTGTACATGTGACACTTACAACATGGGCAGTATAATACAGGTGACAAATGCAACATGGACAATATAATACATGTGACACTTATAACATGGACAGTATACATGTGACACATACACCATGGGCAGCATACAGGGGCACCAACAACATGGAAGGTTTATTACAGGTGACACATACAACATGGAAGGTATAATACAGGTGACACATACAACATGGACAGTATACATGTGACACATACAGCACGGAAGGTATAATACAGGTGACACATACCACATGGAAGGTGTAATACAGGTGACACATACCACATGGAGGCTATAATACATGTGACACATACAACATGGACAGTATACATGTGACACATACAACATGGGAGGTATAATACATGTGACACATACCACATGGAAGGTGTAATACATGTGACACATACAACATGGACAGTATACATGTGACACATACAACATGGGAGGTATAATACATGTGACACATACCACATGGAAGGTGTAATACATGTGACACATACAACATGGACAGTATACATGTGACACATACCACATGGAAGGTGTAATACAGGTGACACATACCACATGGAAGGTGTAATACAGGTGACACATACCACATGGAAGGTGTAATACAGGTGACACATACCACATGGAAGGTGTAATACAGGTGACACATACCACATGGAAGGTGTAATACAGGTGACACATACCACATGGAAGGTGTAATACAGGTGACACATACCACATGGAGGCTATAATACATGTGACACATACAACATGGACAGTATACATGTGACACATACAACATGGGAGGTATAATACATGTGACACATACCAAATAGAGGGTATAATACATGTGACACATACAACATGGACAGTATACATGTGACACATACAACATGGAAGGTATAATACGTGTGACACATACCACATGGAAGGTGTAATACAGGTGACACATACAACAAGGACAGTATACATGTGACACATACAACATGGAAGGTATAATACGTGTGACACATACCACATGGAAGGTGTAATACAGGTGACACATACCACATGGAGGGTATAATACAGGTGACACATACAACAAGGACAGTATACATGTGACACATACAACATGGAAGGTATAATACAGGTGACACATACAACATGGACAGTATACATGTGACACAACATGGAAGGTATAATACAGGTGACACATACCACATGGAAGGTGTAATACAGGTGACACATACCACATGGAAGGTGTAATACAGGTGACACATACCACATGGAAGGTGTAATACAGGTGACACATACCACAAGGACAGTATACATGTGACACATACAGCACGGAAGGTATAATACAGGTGACACATACCACATGGAAGGTGTAATACAGGTGACACATACAACATGGACATTATACATGTGACACATACAACATGGGCAGTATAATACATGTGACCCATACAACATGGACTATATAATACAGGTGACACATACAACATGGACAGTATAAAGGTGCCACATATTACATGGACAGTATAAAGGTGCCACATATAACATGGAAGGTATAATACAGGTGACACATTCAACATGGACAGTATAATACATGTGACACGTACAACATGGACAATATAATACAGGAGACACATTCAACATGGACAATATAATACATGTGACACTTACAACATGGACAATATAATACAGGAGACACATACAACATGGATAATATAATACAGGAGACACATACAACATGGACAATATAATACAGGTGACACATACAACATGGACAATATAATACAGGAGACACATACAACATGGACAATATAATACAGGTGACACATACAACATGGACAATATAATACAGGAGACACATACAACATGGACAATATAATACAGGTGACACATACAACATGGACAATATAATACAGGAGACACATACAACATAGACAATATAATACAGGAGACACATACAACATGGACAGTATAAAACAGGTGACACATACAACATGGACAATATAATACAGGTGACACATACAACATAGACAATATAATACAGGAGACACATACAACATGGACAGTATAAAACAGGTGACACAACATGGACAGTATAAAACAGGTGACACATACAACATGGACAGTATACATGTTACACAAACAACATGCACAGTATAATACATGTGACACATCGACATGGACAGTATACATGTGACACATACAACAGGGGCAGTATACAGGGTCACCAACAACATGGACAGTATACACGAGCGCCAACAAAATGGACAGTATACACGAGCGCCAACAACATGGACGGTATACATGTGACACATATAACATGGACAGTGTACAGGGGCACCAGCAACATGGACGGTATACAGGGGCATCATCTACATAGTATAAAACAGGGTGACCAACAACATGGACAGTATACAGGGGCATCATCTACATAGTATAAAACAGGGGACACATACAACATGGACAGTATAAAACGGGTGACACATACAACATGGACAGTACACAGGGGCACCAACAACATGGGCAATATACAGGGGCAACAACAACATAGACAGTACACAGGGGCACCAACAACATGGACAGTACACAGGGGCACCAACAACATGGACAGTACACAGGGGCACCAACAACATGGGCAGTATACATGTGACACATATAACATGGACAGTGAACAGGAGCGCCAGCATAGGCACTCTACAGGGACATCCACACCCTAGGCAGTATACAGCGACATCTACACCCTAGGCAGTATACAGGGACACCCACATCATAGGCAGTATATAGGGACACCCACACCCTAGGCAGTATACAGGGACACCCACACCATAGGCAGTATACAGGGACACCTACACCATAGGCACTCTACAGGGACACCCACACCCAAGGCAGTATACAGGGACACCCACACCATAGGCAGTATACAGGGACACCTAAACCCTAGGCAGTATACAGGGGCACCAACACCATAGGCAGTATATAGGGACACCTACACCATAGGCACTCTACAGGGACACCCACACCCTAGGCAGTATACAGGGACACCCACACCCTAGGCAGTATACAGGGACACCAACACCATATGCAGTATATAGGGACACCTGCACCATAGGCACTATACAGTGACACCAACACCTTAGGCAGTATATAGGGACACCCACACCATAGGCAGTATATAGGGGCACCAACACCATAGGCAGTATATAGGGACACCCACACCATAGGCACTCTACAGGGACACCCACACCCTAGGCAGTATACAGGGACACCTACACCATAGGCACTCTACAGGGACACCCACACCATAGGCAGTATATAGGGACACCTGCACCCTAGGCAGTATACAGGGACACCCACACCATAGGCAGTATATAGGGATACCTGCACCCTAGGCACTATACAGGGACACCCACACCCTAGGCAGTATATGGGGACACCTGCACCATAGGCACTATACAGGGACACCCATACTCTAGGCAGTATACAGGGACACCTACACCATAGGCACTATACAGGGACACCCACACCATAGGCACTATACAGGGACACCCACACCATAGGCAGTATATAGGGACACCCACACCATAGGCAGTATATAGGGACACCTGCACCAGAGGCAGTATACAGGGACATCTACACTCTAGGCAGTATACAGGGGCACCCACACGATGGGCAGTATATAGGGACACCTACACCCTAGGCAGTATACAGGGACACCCACACCATAGGCAGTATATAGGGACACCTGCACCATAGGCACTATACAGAGACACCCACACCATAGGCAGTATATAGGGACACCTGCACCCTAGGCAGTATACAGGGACACCCACACCATAGGCAGTATATAGGGACACCTGCACCATAGGCAGTATATAGGGACACCCACACCATAGGCAGTATATAGGGACACCTGCACCCTGGGCAGTATACAGGGACACCCACTCCCTAGGCAGTATACATGGACACCTACACCCTAGGCAGTATATGGGGACACCTGCACCCTAGGCAGTATACAGGGACACCCACACCCTAGGCAGTATACAGGGACACCCACACCCTAGGCAGTATATAGGAACACCTGCACCCTGGGCAGTATACTCACCTGGCGGAAGACCGCGGTACACCTTGGAAAGAAGGATGTCAGTCTTCTCAATATCCCAGTTATGAATTACGTGAGCTATGATGTAGAGATCTGCCGGGGGAAGACTGTCCTTGAAGAAATCACCTGCGGAAAGAAATGTCGATTTGATTAGTTTGCATTTCATCTTAATATCCGTCTAGTATTGTTCAGTATTGTTTCTTCACAAAAAGTGTTAGGCCGTGTTACCACTATTTTACATATATATCCATATCCATACGCATTCATACACATACACATGCATATGTACAAATAAATATTTAGACTGTATGCAATGAACGAAGTCGAAAAGCTTTGTAAACGTAGACTGCTAGATTTCGTATGATTTTAAAGTTAGTGGATGACATAAGAGCATTAAATTTATTTTAAGAAGGGGTTGTAAAATATTTAGGAGGAATATATTCAGCTCTTAAATCACTATAAGCATTGCATATAAGCACAAAATGATATCTGTCCTCAATAAAATTCTGGTTACAAATCGAACACAGTCTCTGTTCTCTAATTTCCTTAATATATCGACCGGTCTCAATTCGCAGCCGATGGGAGGAGCATCTCAACTGAGCAAGTGCAGCTCTGAATTTTGAAACATTTACTTCATTGATATAGCTTTCTAAGCCAAATGAAATTTTGTAAAGAGAGTAACTTTGGGATTTAGTGCTAGATGAAACCGCTGCATGCCAATCTTGCTCAGATGAGGCTTTTAAACGGTTTACAAATTCCAAGATAAAGCTTCTACTATTATTACTAAATTGCATCTCCCATATGTAGCCAAAACCAAACGAATAGAGAATGTGTTTGATTTTAGAGACCCAGTTGATCTTACCATTATTAACATCAAGTACTAATAATCTATAACATTTCTTAACTAATCTATTTTAAGGCAAATGTAAAATTCTGTACCAATAAGTAACTACACGCTTATAAGCACATTTGTACATAGGATACCTTCCGCATTCCCCCCTAACCACATGATTTGATGAAGATTGTTTAACCCCAAGAAGGCGTTTACATGCTAGTACCTGGATTTGCTCTAATTCCTTGTAAGTATCTACACCCCAAATCTCGGCACCGTATAAAAGAATTGGAGATATTTTAGAATTAAAAAAATTGAAAAACAAGTCATAAGGAAGAGGTTGAAGCATTTTTAGAGATTTAATGACACCAAATAGGACCTTTTAAGCTTGTAAAGCAGCACTATTAACATGCAAAGACCAGGAGAGAGTTTTTGAAAGAATGGTACCGAGATATTTATAAGAACTTACACACTGAAGTTTTTGACCCTCGTATTACCACTTTTCATATTTTGATAAAATACCCCCATTTTTAAATACCACTACCTTAGTTTTATCCAAGTTGACTGTTAGATGATAGTTACTACAAAAACTTTCCAGAGCTTTTATGCGTTTTTGAAGGCCATACACAGTATCAGCAATAAATGCAACATCATCAGCAAACAACAATAGAAAAATCTGTACAGTGTCAGGGTGTAGCTGTACACCTGGAGTGCATGTTGATTCTATATACAAAGCTAAGTCGTTTATATAAAATAGAAAATATCCAACTAAAACGACTGAGGTTTGATTATTTGATTGAAGTAGTTCTGAGCTTCAAAAAGAAGGAATTGCGTTTTGTAAATTATTACATGAGGTATATCCACAAAAAACGGTGACAAGTCAGTAAAATAGGCATGGTTTGAATATGTATAGAACACTAGGGAAGGCTGTCACACGGAAGACCCGGGTTAGATTTCCCAAATGGGGAAAACGTGTGATGCCAATTTCTGGTGTTCCGCGCCCTGATATTGCTGGACTATTGATAAAAGCTCACTTACTCACTCCTCAAACACTCGTAGAATGGACAAAGCTAAACCGCTGCACCATACTGTTCATCGAGCGTGACAAAATCAAACACACGGAATACTTCCATGTCCTGTAGCAAGACACAAATCACTTGTAGTGATGGGGTGCTTGCACCTACCTCCCACTATCTGTACTTTGTTCCTAGTGTCCTCAGGCTGAAGCTTCTTGGCTAGCTTGGCCACATGCGGCAATTCGAACACTGTGAGACACATGTTTGGGTAGGTCCGCGAGAGCTCGAAAGCGATGCACCCTGACGCTCCTGCAATAGGTTCAAATTAAATCAACTTAACAGTTTAGAAATAGGCTAGTAGGTTGTTACTGATGTACGTTGCTAGAGTTCGGAACAGAGTACGTTGCTACTGACGAGAACAGAGTTCTTTGCTACAGTTCGGAACAGAGTACGTTGCTACATTTCGGAACAGAGTCCGTTGCTACAGTTCGGAACAGAGTACGTTGCTACTGACCAGAACAGAGTACTTTGCTACAGTTCGGAACAGATAACTTTGCTACATTTCGGAACAGAGTACGTTGCTACAGTTCGGAACAGAGTACGTTGCTACAGTTAGGAACAGGGTACTTTGCTACATTTCGGAACAGAGTACGTTGCTACATTTCGGAACAGAGTACGTTGCTACAGTTCGGAACAAAGTACGTTGCTACATTTCGGAACAGAGTACGCTGCTACAGATCGGAACAGAGTACTTTGCTACATTTCGGAACAGAGTACTTTGCTAGATTTCGGAACAGAGTACGTTGCTACAGTTGGAACAGAGTACGTTGCTACAGTTCGGAACAGAGTACGTTGCTACATTTTGGAACAGAGTACGTTGCCAAAGTTCGGAACAGAGTACGTTGCTACATTTCGGAACAGAGTATGTTGCTACTGACCAGAACAGAATACTTTGCTACATTTCGGAACAGAGTACCCCGCTACATTTCGGGACAGAGTACGTTGCTACAGTTCGGAACAGAGTACGTTGCTACAGTTCGGAACAGAGTACGTTGCTACAGTTCGGAACAGAGTACGTTGCTACTGACCAGAACAAAGTACTTTGCTACATTTCGGAACAGAGTACGTTGCTACATTTCGGAACAGAGTACGTTGCTACAGTTCGGAACAGAGTAGTTTGCTACATTTCGGAACAGAGTACCTTGCTATAGTTCGGAACAGAGTACGTTGCTACATTTTGGTACAGAGTACGTTGCTACAGTTCGGAACAGAGAACGTTGCTACAGTTCGGAACAGAGTACGTTGCTACTGACCAGAACAGAATACTTTGCTACATTTCGGAACAGAGTACTTTGCTACATTTCGGAACAGAGTACGTTGCTACAGTTCGGAACAGAGTACGTTGCTACAGTTCGGAACAGAGTACGTTGATACATTTCGGAACAGAGTACTTTGCTACATTTCGGAACAGAGTACGTTGCTACAGTTCGGAACCGAGTACGTTGCTACAGTTCGGAACAGAGTATGTTGCTACTGACCAGAACACAGTACGTTGCTACAGTTCGGAACAGAGTACGTTGCTACAGTTCGGAACAGAGTACGTTGCTACATTTCGGAACAGAGTACGTTGCTACAGTTCGGAACAGAGTACTTTGCTACATTTCGGAACAGAGTACCTTGCTACAGTTCGGAACAGAGTACGTTGCTACATTTTGGAACAGAGAACGTTGCTACAGTTCGGAACAGAGTACGTTGCTACAGTTCGGAACAGAGTACGTTGCTACAATTCGGAACAGAGTACGTTGCTACTGACCAGAACAGAGTACTTTGCTACAGTTCGGAAACAGAGTACTTTGCTACATTTCGGAACAGAGTACGTTGCTACAGTTTGGAACAGAGAAGGTTGCTACTGACCAGAACAGAGTACTTTTCTGCAGTTCGGAACAGAGTACGTTGCTACAGTTCGGAACAGAGTACGTTGCTACATTTCGGAACAGAGTACGTTGCTACAGTTCGGAACAGAGTACGTTGCTACTGACCAGAACAGAGTACTTTGCTACAGCTCGGAACAGAGTACTTTGCTACAGTTCGAAACAGAGTACGTTGCTACAGTTTGGAACAGAGAAGGTTGCTACTGACCAGAACAGAGTACTTTTCTGCAGTTCGGAACAGAGTACGTTGCTACAGTTCGGAACAGAGTACGTTGCTACATTTAGGAACAGAGTACGTTGCTACAGTTCGGAACAGAGTACGTTGCTACTGACCGGAACAGAGTACGTTACTACAGTTCGGAACAGAGTACGTTGCTACATTTTGGAACAGAGTACGTTGCTACAGTTCGGAACAGAGTACGTTGCTACTGACCAGAACAGAGTACTTTGCTACAGTTCGGAACAGAGTACTTTGCTACATTTCGGAACAGAGTACGTTGCTACAGTTCGGAACAGAGTACGTTGCTACTGACCAGAACAGAGTACTTTGCTACAGTTCGGAACAGATAACTTTGCTACATTTCGGAACAGAGTACGTTGCTACAGTTCGGAACAGAGTACGTTGCTACAGTTAGGAACAGAGTACTTTGCTACATTTCGGAACAGAGTACGTTGCTACATTTCGGAACAGAGTACATTGCTACAGTTCGGAACAGAGTACGTTGCTACATTTCGGAACAGAGTACGCTGCTACAGATCGGAACAGAGTACTTTGCTACTGTTCGGAACAGAGTACTTTGCTAGATTTCGGAACAGAGTACCTTGCTACAGTTCGGAACAGAGTACGTTGCTACAGTTCGGAACAGGGTACGTTGCTACATTTTGGAACAGAGTACGTTGCCAAAGTTCGGAACAGAGTACGTTGCTACATTTCGGAACAGAGTATGTTGCTACTGACCAGAACAGAATACTTTGCTACATTTCGGAACAGAGTACCCCGCTACATTTCGGGACAGAGTACGTTGCCACAGTTCGGAACAGAGTACGTTGCTACAGTTCGGAACAGAGTACGTTGCTACAGTTCGGAACAGAGTACGTTGCTACTGACCAGAACAGAGTACTTTGCTACATTTCGGAACAGAGTACGTTGCTACATTTTGGAACAGAGTACGTTGCCAAAGTTCGGAACAGAGTACGTTGCTACATTTCGGAACAGAGTATGTTGCTACTGACCAGAACAGAATACTTTGCTACATTTCGGAACAGAGTACCCCGCTACATTTCGGGACAGAGTACGTTGCTACAGTTCGGAACAGAGTACGTTGCTACAGTTCGGAACAGAGTACGTTGCTACAGTTCGGAACAGAGTACGTTGCTACTGACCAGAACAGAATACTTTGCTACATTTCGGAACAGAGTACTTTGCTACATTTCGGAACAGAGTACGTTGCTACAGTTCGGAACAGAGTACGTTGCTACAGTTCGGAACAGAGTACGTTGCTACAGTTCGGAACAGAGTACGTTGCTACTGACCAGAACAGAATACTTTGCTACACTTCGGAACAGAGTAGTTTGCTACATTTCGGAACAGAGTACGTTGCTACAGTTCGGAACCAAGTACGTTGCTACAGTTCGGAACAGAGTATGTTGCTACTGACCAGAACAGAGTACTTTGCTACAGTTCGGAACAGAGAACGTTGCTGCATTTCGGAACAGAGTTCGTTGCTACATTTCGGAACAGAGTACTTTGCTACATTTCGGAACAGAGTACGTTGCTACAGTTCGGAACAGAGTACGTTGCTACAGTTCGGAACAGAGTACGTTGCTACAGTTCGGAACAGAGTATGTTGCTACTGACCAGAACAGAGTACTTTGCTACATTTCGGAACAGAGTACTTTGCTACATGACGGAACGGAGTACGTTGCTACAATCGGGACAGAGTACTTTGCTACATTTCGGAACAGCGTACCTTGCTACAGTTCGGAACAGAGTACGTTGCTACAGTTCGGAACAGAGTACTTTGCTACATATTGGAACAGAGTAGTTTGCTACGTTTCGGAACAGAGTACGTTGCTACAGTTTGGAACAGAGTACGTTGCTACAGTTCGGAACAGAGTACGTTGCTACAATTCGGAACAGAGTACGTTGCTACTGACCAGAACAGAGTACTTTGCTACAGTTCGGAAACAGATTACTTTGCTACATTTCGGAACAGAGTACGTTGCTACAGTTTGGAACAGAGAAGGTTGCTACTGACCAGAACAGAGTACTTTTCTGCAGTTCGGAACAGAGTACGTTGCTACAGTTCGGAACAGAGTACGTTGCTACAGTTCGGAACAGAGTACGTTGCTACTGACCAGAACAGAGTACTTTGCTACAGCTCGGAACAGAGTACTTTGCTACAGTTCGAAACAGAGTACGTTGCTACAGTTTGGAACAGAGAAGGTTGCTACTGACCAGAACAGAGTACTTTTCTGCAGTTCGGAACAGAGTACGTTGCTACAGTTCGGAACAGAGTACGTTGCTACATTTCGGAACAGAGTACGTTGCTACAGTTCGGAACAGAGTACGTTGCTACTGACCGGAACAGAGTACGTTACTACAGTTCGGAACAGAGTACGTTGCTACATTTTGGAACAGAGTACGTTGCTACAGTTCGGAACAGAGTACGTTGCTACTGACCAGAACAGAGTACTTTGCTACAGTTCGGAACAGAGTACTTTGCTACATTTCGGAACAGAGTACGTTGCTACAGTTCGGAACAGAGTACGTTGCTACTGACCAGAACAGAGTACTTTGCTACAGTTCGGAACAGATAACTTTGCTACATTTCGGAACAGAGTACGTTGCTACAGTTCGGAACAGAGTACGTTGCTACAGTTAGGAACAGAGTACTTTGCTACATTTCGGAACAGAGTACGTTGCTACATTTCGGAACAGAGTACATTGCTACAGTTCGGAACAGAGTACGTTGCTACATTTCGGAACAGAGTACGCTGCTACAGATCGGAACAGAGTACTTTGCTACTGTTCGGAACAGAGTACTTTGCTAGATTTCGGAACAGAGTACCTTGCTACAGTTCGGAACAGAGTACGTTGCTACAGTTCGGAACAGGGTACGTTGCTACATTTTGGAACAGAGTACGTTGCCAAAGTTCGGAACAGAGTACGTTGCTACATTTCGGAACAGAGTATGTTGCTACTGACCAGAACAGAATACTTTGCTACATTTCGGAACAGAGTACCCCGCTACATTTCGGGACAGAGTACGTTGCTACAGTTCGGAACAGAGTACGTTGCTACAGTTCGGAACAGAGTACGTTGCTACAGTTCGGAACAGAGTACGTTGCTACTGACCAGAACAGAGTACTTTGCTA